CACTCACACTCATGGACACACATGCACACACAGGCACACACACGCACACACACACACTCACACTCATGGACACACATGCACACACACATGCACACACACACAGGCACACACATGCACACACACACATATGCACACTTACACTCACACACACGGGCACACATGCACACACACACACTCACACTCATGGACACACATGCACACACACACACTCACACTCATGGACACACACACAGGCACACACAGGCACACACATGCACACATGCTTTAAACAACTGGTCCTCAGTGCCGGACAATGCTAACAAGGCAACTTTGAAAGGTGACACCTTGTCCAGGGCCTTCTGTATGTACCACGACAGACGAGAAAGGTTCTTCACTATGGAAGGGAATAAAAGGAAAAATAATTTAAAGAAAAGCAATCCCAAAGCATCACCACCTTAAATCCCTCATGGCTGCACAGGTTTTCAGCTGCTGAAACACAAGAGAGACGGCTGGACCTGGAGACTAAGGTGTAAGCTGCCCCTGAGCCTGGTGAGGCCTCCAAATCGGACAGCAGTTCAGCAAAGACGCTATAAACAGGCTGCATCGGAACCAACGCCGGGGAACACAGTCTCAGAACCCTGACTCGGCCCACTTTGCCATGGAAAGTTCTGAGGTCTTTAAACTCAGTTATGTTGTGAATGTAAACATGTTTCCGTTTTAATCCCAGGTGTGGGATGTGGGCTGATTCGGATGGTCCACAGCAGCAGACTATTTGCCTTGTGTGGGCTCTGAGAGGGGCTCTTTGCCAGCTGCTGACAGCTTAAATCTGAGGACCCTGAAGAGGGAATAATGCCAGAGCCCAGAGAGAGTTGGGGCTCCAAGGAAGAAAAATGCTGGTGTGTCCCCCCACCCCCACCTCACTGCTCCTGCTGCTGTTGCTGCAGTTTGAATCACAATTCTTTTGTTGTTATTGTTTTTAGAGACAGGGTTTCTCTGTGTAGCCTTGGCTGTCCTGGAACTCACTCTGTAGACCAGGCTAGCCTCGAACTCACAGAGATCCACCAGCCTCTG